GTTCGGGACGGCACCACAATGGGGACTGTAGAAACAGCGGTGGCCAAAAAAATTGCATAAATCATCTAAAAGTAGTACTCTAAGTGCCCGCCGATCTGACACGCAAAACTAAACAACCCCCATTAAAAAAAATGCAAATATACTATAACGTATATAAAGATAAATGTACCAACGTACAAGGACATCTGAAAGGCAAACCCGGTGACATACCGGACAGAAACAGCAACCCAATATTTTACCTTCGTTTAAAGTGACACAACCAGATCGTTCTGCCCGGGGACCTACGTGGAGCACACGTAAGTAATGAAATTAGTCACATTCAATTAGTCTTTGCGCGGTGATCCGATGATCGTTTATTACTTTTGCTCCCCGTAGACATCGTGAAATTTGATTACTATTGCTAGCAATAAGATTATAAGCCTTTATCTTTATTTTATTTGATTCTTCTCATCAGCGGACAGATAACGTTCCCGCCTTCGAATATCCAAATTTAGCTATGAAACCAGGAAGGCCTGTGAACATACACAAGGGATGGTTCATACAGACGTTACGTTCTTGCCGTAGCTCGCGCCAATTACATCGTTTTTGTGTGTTCGTCATTTCTTTTTCTTTGGATGGCGTGGGCGGGCGTACGTCGCCAAATTTTTATCATGCGATCCACGTGCCCATAGATTTTTCTTTTTTCGACCAGGCGGGTACTTAAACATCAGCACCCAAGGATCGCCATAATAAAGTTTATTCCTCCTCCTCCTCCTCCTCCTCGTCGTAACAAAACTGTTTACCGGCTGCGAGTTTGGAAAGTCATGAACCCCAGCTGCGAGTTGTGAGGTATATATTTTCATTGCGGCAGCATTTACGCATTTCCTAGATTATTCCACGGTCCACTAAAGTGACTTTCCCTAAAAACGCAAAATTTAGCTTAGCTTATTCCATCCCTCCTCCCCCCCCCCCCCAAAAAAAAAAAAAAAAATTTTTTATATGCTGCATCCAGTTAATTGATTTGTAAACGCAATCCATCGATCACTGTTTCCAAATACCCACTTTTTTTCTCCCTTTAACTGTCCATCTCTGTCTCTCCACAATTTCCTTTCTCTCTTTTCTCACCGAGTCTTCACTTTTCTCACCAATTTTCACCCTCTGCTATTCACCGAAATATTAAATCACAACCACGTTTTGAATCTTCGTTCATTCTCCTTTCGTCTCTCTCTCTCTCTCTCCGGTGCTTTTCAATTATATATCTCCTCAAATAATTTCCCACAGTTTCTTTCCTTTCTTTCTTTTCATCCCGCACATTTCTTCTCGCATCAGCAGATCCAACTCTCCCCGAACCGAGTCTTGTTTTCGTCGTCTGGGTCGCCTCCCCCTCCCCCTCCCCAGCGCGCCCTCTCTCTCGGCCCCAGCATACCGCAGGAGTCAGTGTGCCATTTTTCGGTCCGGCTACTTACTCTTACGACACGACGCGGCGCAGGCAGCAGCGTGGGGGTCGAACCGCATTTCAATTGCCGCTGCCAGCCCCGCACAACCTCGTCCGCGTTCACGTCCGCACCGATTATTTACACTTGTTCTCATAGCCTCCCCCCGTATTTGTCTTCCTCAGTCTCCTCGATCGCTTTCTCGTCTTCTAATCCAGCTCTGTTCGTCCCTTTGTCCGTGGGCGAACGATACACACTGTACACCCTGATGATGATAAGGATGATGATCATCATCATCAGGGTGATGGTGATGTACATCATCGGGTTCTGGTGATGTACAGTACTACACACTGTACACCACGATCATCATCAGCACCATGATGATGAAGATGATGATCAGCATCATCGGGGTGTACAGTCTGTAGCACTGTACACCCTAATGTACAGTGCTACACACTGGACATCACCATCATTATCATCACCACCACGATGATTATGATCATCATCATCACCATCATTATCACCACCATGATAATGATGATGATGATGATGATGATCATAATCATCATCATCATCGTCGCTGTACAACACCATCATTATCACCACCATGATGATGATGATGGTAATCATCATCATCCTGTACACCCTGATGTACAGTGCTACACACTGTACATCACCCTCATTATCATCATTACCACCATGATCATCATCATCATCTTGGACACGACGGGCTGCGTCAGCGTTCGGCGAGAACGCGGAACCAATCACAAGCTTCGCGCCAAAAAAAATGGCGACCGCCAATGTTGCTTGACGGACTTTCGAAATATGTACGGCTCTGGATAGCTGCAAAGGTTGGCGCCATCTATGAGTGACAGCGGCAACCAGACTGGTTTGTCTGGTTGCCGCCGTCGCTCCTAGATGGCGTAGGCTGTACAGAGTTTTGCGTCGACATTTGTTCGGTACTGGACACGAAACTGGGGAAACTAACCCTCAACAACTCCGCTGTAAAAGAAAAGAAGAAAAAAAAAAAAGTCATTCAGGATTTGTCTAATAAACATATCTTAACGTATACACCAGGGTGATCTTAAATAACTTGCCCCAAGACTTTAAAAAAGGAAGTCGTTGCGTTTGAAAGAGTTTTCGTCTGCGGCGTCCTATCGGAGCCGCGCGTTGGAGTGAGGTTGAGTATTCTAATCTAATCCCGGTCTAGAGTTAAAGATAAAATACAAAAGAAAAAAAAAAACATTAACAACGCATTCATTAGACGTGGCAAGGTTATATACTTCCGGATGATATATGAGACGAGATAAAGCACGATCAACGCGGCTATAATTCATCTCCAGCTTCGGTGTTTTCTCTTTGCGGGGTCAGTTCAGGCTGGCGTGTTCGATATGAACGAGAAACATGCTCCGGCTAGCGTGTTCATAATCCCGTGATGTGGGAAACCAGCAACTCAAATACTAAAGAAATAAAGTAAAAAGAAACGCACTAGTTTTAGAAGCCGCAAAATTAAGTTTTCTTGTGTATCGTTGGACGCTTCTAATTGGTTTTAGAATCGCGGGCCTCCAGCGACATTATAATCCAGTCCGAGAAGAAAAAAAAAAAAAAAAAAACTAAGACAATTAACCTAATTATCGGACGAGGCATAATTAATGCCACGAATGTGCCAAAACACAAACGTAAACACCGCACAAACGCGCTATATAAAGGTACATAAAAACAAAAACAAAACGAATTAAAGAGACGGATATTTCAAAGTACGTTAGCGAAGTCAAGAGAGAGTAAAAATACGCCCGATGTGGGTATAGTTTTTTTGTGTTCGTTTCTTTTTTTTTTTTTTCGTCCCTGTTTTCGCTGTGTCCGCGCGGTAGTTAGCGTATAAGCAGTGAGTAAATTGCTTCGGCGGGCGGTCGTTTTCTCTTTACACCGAGATGGATGAGTGCGTCGAATCGATACTAACCAGTCGACGAGACAGAAATAATCTTAACCCACGTATAAACACTACTGAAATACCGAAACTTGCAAAAGGAGGCAACAACTGGGCCCACAAAATGCGAGGATATCCCAGAGTAAAAATAACACTCGGAAACATTAATTACGAGCTTAATTTAGAGCAGCGGCGTTTTCAGGAAATAAAAACCGACAACCCAATACCCGGAAAAGGAAAAAAAAACACTTATTCTTATTTTTAACCAATCACGCACAGACAAAAAAAATCAAATGCACGAAGACGACGAGCGGCGTGACGATTCCCGTTTGGCGATTTTTGATTGGCTCCCTTCGCTCACTGACGTCACGCCACAGCGAGGCGCTGCTGTCGGTACCGCGCATGCGCAGACGGCTCACTCCTCCCGAAATTGATTTCTGCGCAAGCGCGGTGCCCATACACCTGGTGTGGGCAAAGCGGGCTCATTTGGAAGCACTGCGTTGGTGTAGATTGGGATGGCGCGAACTCTCGTCGAAACCAACTTCGAATCTGGAGTTTCGAATGGTTCCGCGCTTCGTGGTGCATATACTGTCCAAGTCCCATCAAAGCAGTGGGTCTTATGTCCACGAAAAAATGTACTCACGAGCTCCTCTCCCCCTGTGCGCACAGGTGGTCGACCTCCCCCTCACCTACCTCTCTGCTCAGATGACCTCTCCGTTGACCAATCAGCGTTGAGAGCCTCATTCCTCCTCCCCCCACCCGTCAACCAATCGGTGTCGAGCCTCGTGGCCACGCTTTTATCTCGGCTTCACGAGATGCCGAACGCGTAGCCAGAAAACGTTTCAGGTTAACAAGCGCACAGAGTATCGTCACTTCACTCCCCGACCTTCTTGTAGGTATCGGCATGTTTGTGCGTAGGGCAGGCGGGCGCAAAAGACGATCGTCACCGTTTCGAAAATCCGACTTCCTTAGTTTTAGATACGCGTGGTCGGAAGCTCCGGCGATATCGCGTTTTGCTGCGTCACGGACTGTTTAAGCATTTCTTGAGGACGGAAAAGCGTTTCTCTGCGATTTTAGATATGCATTCAAATAACTGGCAACAATGTCTTTCAGCGATATCCCAGACCGTATGGTGATACTATACTTCGTTTTAGTTTAAGTCTAGAAGCAGTCCACGCTACCAGCTAATGGAACCAATCAAAGAGCGTAAAAAGAGCGAGTCACTAGGCCTTCCCTGTTCATGATTGGTCCGGCGATGATAGGACACGTACAGAAACATGACGAACACCATGATGGTGCGCTTTCAACGCTGTTACGATTGGTCCCATCATCTCATAGCGTCGGTTGCAAATTGGCTTGGAAGGGCGAGGAGAGGAAATCCTACTTTCTTTTATTTCGGTTTTTCGGCTAGGTGGCGCTAGCTACCGTCAGTTATAGAAGTACACAGCCATTAGCTTCCATCCCTCCTTCCGATGGCTTGGAATCTCGTTACTTTAAAGCGCAACTTAATGTGGCGGCTCCATAGTCAGACCGAATTGAATTGGGCTTCGCTGACGTTCCTAATACCTGTGTTGTTGTTTTCTTCCTGCTTTATACACGTTCTCTTTTTTTAAATTCTGTGGCTACGTCATGGCGACCTTGGTCGAGGGCTGTGGTCTTACCTGGTCCAGGTACGACGCTGTCCCGCTGCCCTCTTGGCCTGGATCCTGCATGCTCAAGGACAGGTCGAATTTATCCATCGCCTGTTTGAAGAGAGAAAAAAAAAAAAAAAAGTTAGACGGGCTGATTGGACATGCAACTGCATTTATCCTTCAGATCTCGCTTTGCAAACAGATTCAGAAGAGAACAATATATACAACGGGAGGGAGCAACGACAGCGCACGCCACGAGAGCGCTGAACAACAGCTGCACTCACTAAGGTGCCCTTCCCCGTGGCAGAAAGTTCAGGTATCGAATCCCCTTCTGTATTAACTGGGTTGTTATACATAAGATTATCTGTATGGTTCCGTGTTTTCCGGTAAATCCGAAAAAAAACCCGCCGGTAAAATTTTGGGCGATTCAGATTTAAGCGATAAATTCAGAATTTAGATGTGCCAATGAAGCCCCTCACCACCCCCCCCCCCCCCAAAAAAAAAAAAAAAAAAAGAAAAAAAGAAAAAAAAGACGGTATTTAATCAGCGCACAGAGTAATTGGTCTTGGGAAAATTCTACCACAGTTATCTTTCGAATCTCGGACCATTGTCAAAGGAAGTCTTACCGCTTACCTCGTCAAGTTATATTCAGGACACCGGGTCATTGTACTTTCGGGTCACGACAAATCTCACTGTTTCGGTTTCCAGTTTGGGTCATACTATGTGTGCTTTAGAGGGAAGAGAGGTTGTCGTTTTGGAAGAGGGAAAGATGGTGGACCATAGAGATTGCATAAAATGGAGGAGAGGGGCACTTGAAACTTTCCTCTAGGTTTTTCTTACGTCAGCCTTTTAAGAAAAATACCGCGTGTCAAAACCTTTTTAAAGACAAATTGCCAATTGTTTCGACTCATCCGAAAGGCACACTAGCGTTTCCAGCTCCTCTGTGACGTGATGTCATGACTATAGGAAAGCTTGTGGTGACGTGCTACGACAGTGTCAGAAGACGTCACATGACGGCAGGGTACCATGTAACTTGACAGTGTCACGTAGCATAATCAGCGGGACGGTTTACCCGCTAAATTTAGCTGGTCGCTTCCCTTACACCATGGCTCTTCTCGTCTCTTCTTCATCAAGGCTACATCTCACGGAGATAACGGCGCCAACTCACAAAAACACGTTTGCAAAAGAAATTGCTGAATCTATGCATGGTGGCATAATTAGCGAGGCTGGAAATACAATGAGCCAAAGCATCGGCGACCAAATTAAGTTCATTTTCGTCACAGGTGTACTTTACTGGCGCATATTACTCCGTCAAATATCAAGGCGGAGCGGAGCTTCTTCTCTTATTTGTTTTCTATGAAAAATGAGGAGTAGCGGGAAAGAAGGGTCATGTTTAGTACTTCTATCCAAAGATGACGCAACGGGTCATCGCAATTTTAAAGCAGAGCGCAGACGACACAGGACGAGCAACGGAGCTGCGACAGGTTTACTCAGTCTCCGCTGTTTGACCGCGTTGGTTTCACCGCTTATGATTAATTTTAGAAGGAAGTTAGACTATACACGGTAATTTTCTTCCATTTGATCAAACGCCGTTGTCACGGGGTGTTTCCCAATTGCAACGTGTTGCGCCACCTGTTGACAGGGGAGTTACACGCGACATCCAGCGCACCTATGTCGTCAGCGATGCTGTCTTAATTTTTCACGGGGACCAAGCTACGCCTTGAAATTTCACGAGGTAATATACGTCCCTAAAATACATCTTTGGAGAATATTTCAACTCGCCATGAAGAAAAGCCGATTTTTGCAGGTCACTTTACAGTCAACCTCGCGCCTTCTGTTACCCTGCAGATCCTTCCAATGGTCAGGCTCCTCTTACTCTCTCCCTCTCTATATATATCTCACACGCCATCTGGGCGCCGCCATCTTTGTCCACTGGGCTGTGAGAAGCCTTTTCTAAGCGTACGCAGTAGCTCTCTTCCACGAAATATGAGACGCCGGGCGTGAGTCCACCGCCCAGTGATTCGACATTTTTTTCGCGTGGGTGGTAGGCACTGAAGAAGACGCGTACGCTGCTCCAACAGCGCCTTCTTCGACGACGCTAACGCAGAGCACCTCGACCACGGTTGCTACAGACTTTCTGGGCCTCGAAAATGACGTCAAACACACCCCATACATATGGCGTCTTTCTTCATCTCAAGCTCGCGAAATTGACGCTTTGTTTTTAGTCTCCGACGTTACCTACTATAAGCAGGTGACGGATTAGGAAACGCAGAGCGTTCTAGCAGAGCGTTCCGATACCTCCGATAACAGAGAGTAGAGAGTTTTAGTAGCTCGTTCTAATGACTCCGATAACGATACCCGATACTCCGCCACCACCTCCCTTGCGCATGCATAGTATCGTTATCGGGGCTATCGGAGGTTTTCGGAACGATCTACTAAAACTCTCTAATTTTAGGGCACCGTTAGAGAGTTTTAGGTAACCGTTTATGCACATCCGATACGGCACGATGGGCCCTCCGGTTCGAACTGCGCGTGCGCGAGTCTTATGCGGCAGCGCATGCGCAGTTCGTACCAGAGGGCCCATCGTAGCTTATTGGATGTGCAGAAACGGTTCCCTAAAGCTCCCTAACGATAACCGACACAATAGAGAGTTTTAGTAGATCGTTCCGATACCTCCGATAGCCCCGATAACGATACCATGCATGCGCCAGGGAGGCGGTGGCGAAGTATCGGGATATCGTTATCGGAGTCATGGGAACGATCTACTAAAACTCTCTAATAGGGAGTTTTAGTAGACCGTTTTTAAAGGCCCGCTACCGCTACGAGCGCGCGCTTCAGAGCATGCATCGAAGTGGCAGCGCGAGCTCCCGCTACGATTATCGTGGCCTGAAAACACGATCTACTAAAACTCTCTATTGATACTATGCGTGCGCAATAGGCGTCGGCGGTGTATTGGGTAGCGTTATCGGAGTCGTCAGAACAGTCTGCTCAAACTCCCTGGCCTCGCCACTCCTTCAAGTTCTTAGGCTCTTTGTGACTTCATAATGTACGGCCAGCAAGTTGGAACCGAGGTACAGGTTTCGCGGGGTCTCTAAGGACCAGTTATATACTTCCTGCCGTCCCGGTATTCAGAGCGAAATTTTAGCCCAGCGAAGCGGAACCGCGCTGGGGCAATAATGGACGACGCCGAAAAACGAGGAAAACTAGAAAAGCAATATAAAAGACTCTACGAAAGGGGGAAAAACAAACACGTACCGTCAAAAAAAGAAAACAAAATTTGCGGGGTCATATTGAGCATTTTTGTTGGAAATGTTTCTCGTCGCTAAAGTGACTTTAAGAAACTGAACTGTGTCTACGAAAAGCGGAGGAATTCCGTGATCGCAAACACTGGCATTTGTTGGCCAACAACAATAATATAATGAGTACTTGTGTTGTTATTTTTTAGCCGTAGTCTCCCTCGGTGAACCTTGTTCGCAAACAACTTCTTGTGTACGCAGAAGGTGGTGACTAAAGCGTAATTATTAAAATAAAATAAAAAACATTGCTAACAAATCTGTTGTTGAAGTGACTGCCAACACTCTTTGTGACCGCAAACACACGGCATTTGTCAACCGCCAACAAAATTACTTTTTTTTTCTCGATTCGATAGACATTTTGCTGTAACACTTTTTGCAAGCGTTTATTTTTTGTTATTTCACACACTTCAGCGTAATCGTAATAAAAGAACGTAACTGGCGAAATTGTTGTCGACGTGTTTGCGGACACTCTTTCTTGGTTGTCGGTGGGGTGGGACCGGGACCTCAGAAACAAACGACCGTGCGTCTGATGGGCTTCAGACACGTCAATAGAGAACGGGCGAAACTAAAGATACATTAACTGGAAATGTGATATTAAAACAAAAACGAGCTCATACGATCTTACGATTTTTACGGAATAAAACCGAGGAAATGACGAAAATGTACGATGAAATGGTTTATAAAAGAAGAATCGAACGAATAAACAAAATTGGAGACAAACGCGTACAAAAGGAACGAAAGTAGGGCAATTCTAGCTAAGCTTTTGTACACACACACGCCTGCCCAACGAAGAATGGAATAAACGCGGATCTTACAACAAACAACCAGTAAGAGGACAATAAGAGGAAAAAATAAATAAATAAAAAAAACGAGGCTACCGAAACACTCCATTGTAATGTTGCAATAACGGATACATGTATTCACTGATTTCCGCTTATACCGACGCCGGTTATAGAAGGGTAGTCTCCGTTTTTAATCACACCAAGCGGCAGGCCGGCTTTTATAATCTAACGAACGTGCGCTGTGTTCCTACAACCTATTGGAATCCGCATGTCGTTTCTCCTATTACGTTCAGAAATCGTGATTGTTCTTTCGACGTTCTGATCGGCCTATGCTGTGATTGGCTAGTGTGTGTGTGTATGTGTGTGTGAGTGTGTGTGTGTGTGCGTGCGTGCGTGCGTGCGTGCGCGTGCGTGTGTGTTTGTGTGTTCCGTTTGCACTCTATCGCTAATCTCGTTTGTGTAGAATTCGAGCTTCAGTACCAAGGTGCTACTGCGATGGAACCGATAGACAGCCATCTTACCAGACCCAAATCGCATAATGCATTACATGGTATAGAGTTCTAGGCTCAACCTCACAGAGCGTGGTAATGGACAAATGGGGGGGGGGGGGGGGGGGGATTGCTTCAACCCGACTGTTTAGTAAAGGTATCGTGGAGTCAACCTTCTTAGTTTTGGCAATCCTAACCACTGGCCTGACTCGGGGGGCATACCTCGGTTACAGTGATGTCACGCAAACCGAAGAGCGTACACTAACCGGAGTGTGACTGTAGGCGGATAAGGAAAGGGTTCGACAGTTCATTCAAAAGGGACACGCTTCGGTTAGCGACAAAGGCATCAATCTGACGCGGGCCTTTGTTCCCGGCCTTGTCTTTATGCACCGCGCCATTCTTCGCTTCCAGCTAGTGAAGGCACACACACACACATGTACACATACACACACACATTCTTGTTTGCGCGCTGAAAAAAAAAATGAATGAGAACACTGGCATGTTTATTGTAGTAAGTAGCACTGCCGACATAAGACACAGAAAAC